GACATGTCTCTTTGTTTGAGCTGGAGGAACTCCCGTATTTTATGGGACCTCACCGTGTCGGAAAAATACTTCTCATTGAACGGATCCTTAAATTGGCTCCGGGTGAGCCCCTCATCTCCTAGTGATGCTTTTATAGTTTCCCACCAATTGCATGCATCGGCAATCACCATAAAGGTGGTACATGCTACCCAATCTGCATCACCCATGTCCAAGACTTAAAAATAGCCTATATTGACTCAATCCATTCTTCTGCTACATTAGGATTTGGCCCGCCTCCGAATTCTTTTGGATTAAACCTTTGAAATCGTTCAACCATTTTGCTCCTTTCCGGTTGATGAGCTTCGATTGGACCTTGTTGGGTCACTTCCAAAATCCTCTCGTATCCGTTCCTCATGCCTCTCTTGCTTGCCATTCCATCATCTTCTGCTGTTTCCTAAGCGAGTTCCATCAATTCTCCTTCTCGGTTGTCCGACACTCGGCTCGACCCCGTATTACCACTAGCGGTATTACTATTAACCCGTTTGGGTGGCATACTCGTTCTCTTTTGTTTTTACATTCACACATACATAATATTCATTAGGTCATCCATATCACATTATAACTTTACCATCTATATACCATCACGTCGGTTTCTTTTGTAACATACACAACAATCAATCATAATCATCGGTCCTTAAACATATTTACCGATTGCGAGAGGCTATCGAGATGCACCGTCCACGTAGCTTGGATGTAGTTGGACGTAACCGCTCCGATACCATGTCCGTAACACCACCAACTTAGGACCTAATAAGTTGAGAATATTACCGTCGTTAGCCACATTCGAAGTGCAATGAATTTAAGCTAACAAGGCATTATGATCTTATTGTAACGTATATAAGAATATTTACGTGGTAAAAATCTTTTAATGACGTTCAAGTCCTATTTCTTACTTCGACTTCGTTATAAATTTTTTGCGTTTATGTCGTGTTTATTTATCATGATTTTTATTTTAATTTATTTCATTTTACATGCTTGCTAAGCTTCTAATCATGTCAATAAGCGAGTGGATAATTTAAAGTAATTATACTACTATTACGATATTATTATTTATTATTACCGATTCGATTATACACCTTAATCGCTTATATATATGATCGATTCTATATCAAGTACTACGTGTAATGGTTCTACTCAAAAGCCAAACCCTCATCTAAGCTACATGCGTCCGATGCCTCCCTCGGTAGTTAGCTTTATAGAGAAATGAACCATAACATCTTATTTATCTACACCATAAGGAACTCGTATGAACTACGACCGAGTAAGTTAACATATGCATGTAATGTAAGTACATGTGTATGTATGCATATGACACCGATATGCATAATGAATCATTTTTTCTTATGTCATAAAACATTTCATAAACGAGTCTGAAAAATCCCTTTTCTGTCTTTGGACATGTCTCATTTAAGTACTTCGAGTTTCCATAACATATGTCCGACGAACCGGACTCATCCACGGACGTGCCCTACCGAGCATCTAAAAGTGCACATCCGCACTTGCCCGATCTCGAACCATTACCATCACCGTATGAAAAACCCATGAAGTCCTTTCCTCAAAACCTCAAAGTCATGGAAATCTTTTCCTTTGAAATCATTCCGATTGCTATTGGATAACCATGATATAAAATATATTTTCATGACTTAAAATATTATTCATGAGCTAAGCGTGCATATACAATTTGCAATGAACCACCAAGTCTGTATGAATTCATGAATGCTTACTTAGAATGGTTATGTAACAAAGTCATAAGAATTGATATAAAATTGGGCGGCATAACGAGTATAGATAACATTAATCCAATATAAACCAACAACGTCATCATTGACACATCAATCATCGTAACCCAATTCTCATCATCAATCATATTCAAGCATAACCATTATTCATAATCTAATGCATTCATGTAGCATTTGAAAGAACATAACCATAACATAAAAGAAGATTAACATTTTTGTTCCATTTATTTGTTCATTAAACTTACCTTTCACTTTGCTTTCTTAAATTCTTTTCCTTAGGTTCTTAATCATCTTTCCATATTTGGTCTTTACCAAATTAAGTATCATTTCATGTTCCAACCTAACTAGGTATTATTTCATTGATTTAGGAGGTTCAATTTTGGTTTGGGCCTTAATTGACCTAAGGTCTAATTTTTCCTAAATCAATTTTTTTCTTTAGATTTTCGTGAACACTTTTATTCTAAACCATCTTTTTTCATTATCTTGAGCATGAATGAACTAAGTTAGGGTATGAACTTAAAGAGAGACTTTTAAGTGATCGATGAATTACACGAGCGAGAGACACGTCCGTGTGGGAAGTCGTGAACTCTTTGCCTTCAAGAAAACACATTTCTTCATTACACGGGCAAGGGCACACCGTGTGGAAGGTTGTGTAACTCCTTGTCTTCAAGAAAAATATATTTCTTCATTACACGGGCAAGGACACACCTGTGTGGGAGGTCGTGTAACTCTCCGACTTTAAGAAAACACATTTCTTTATTACACATTTTCTTCAATTTTTAGTAAATTTTCCATTTCTACTTATAAAAACATGCTTATTCAAGTGTGAATGACCCATCAAACCAGAATCAATTTACTTTGAACTCAACCCCTAATTTGCTTAGTTTAGGCTAAATATAATTTCTAACAATTAGTGGATTTTTCTTTAATTAAAGTATAATTTTCATTTCTAAATATTAATTCATACTCAAATAAGTCAGAATCAAGTGTCAAAACACCAATTAAATGAGAGAATTCAAAACCTCCAAATTTGGTTCATTAAGAACCCTAACCCTAATTTTTATCAATTGAGCAAGTAAATCAAATCAAGCAATTGAACATGAAATTGACTTGAAATTAAGCATACTTATGGTGTAGGTGAGGTTAACTTACCCATTTGAGCTCCAATTAGACTCTAATAAGGTAGATTGGTGAAGGATTTCTCTTCGTCCTCTTTTCTCCTAAATTTTTGAATTTGATCTTTGAATTTTTTCCCTTAAGATTTTCGGCTTCCTACTTAAAATTCAAGCTTCTTCTACTCGGTTAGAGATGGATAGAATTTATTAAAAAAGTTTTGGGTGATTTTTAAGTGAAACTTTTGTAAGAGTTTCCTTTGTGTTTTTCAATTTTTTCGTCTCCTTTTTATTTTTTCTAGCAACCCTATTTATATGCAATTTTGTGGAATCATTGAACCCATCTCTCGCCCTTAATGTGGAAAAATCTCGACCCTTAATTCAATTTCTAATCATTCATTTACATTTTTTCTAATTTTTAACCATTTATTCACCTTTTTATTTAACCCTTCCACCTTGCTTATTTTTGGCCATAATTTTTGCTGGCGAGTCGAGTTAATTAATGCTCTAGGACGGCCAAATTTAGGAGGAAAATGACAAATTTTGGCCCTTCAAGTTTATAGACTTTTCCATGGCCTATTCTTTCCTAAGTCCCTCTTTTATGCAAAAACTCACTTCTAATCCTTCCTTTTTAGTTTTTAGGACTAATTTTTTTAATCCTTAACATTCTCACATAATTTAATTTGGATTATTATACTTTTAATTTTATGCAATGGAGTCCCTAATTTTATGCAATTTAGTCCCTACTTTTAAAATCCCATTCTATACTTTTCAAAAATCAAGTTTTTTTTCTAGAATAAATTCAAACATTCATTAAGGGAGTTTGGTTTAAATTTCATAATTTTTGGCCCTAATTTGAGCCTTCAATTTATTTATTTAGTGTGAAAATTACACTATTTCCTATAAAAAAATATTTCCTATACTTACTAAAATTAATTTAAATTTTCTAGGCACTCTCACACATCCTATATGATTATTCTATGCTCTTAAAAATTTATCATACTTATAAGGTGCCTAATTAATGTCTTTACCTCTAAAAACACTATTCCTAGACTTAGAAAATTCAATGAAATATTCACCATATGTAGAAACATTCAATGAAATAAAATCATATAAAATAATATAACACCCTCCTAACAATTATTCTAAATAAAAAGATATTTTTCATACACAAGCAAAATGCTTTAATTAATTTTCTCATGCAATAACTACTATTCACGTATCGAAAAATCACTAAAATATTCTTTAAGCATGGAAAACTATTTTGACCCTTCTAAATATTCTTTTAAGATTTTAATAATTATTTCTCATTCTCAAAAGTATTTATTTATTTATTTTCACATGGGTTTAATATTAAACTTTTATTATATTTTTATTTTAGCGGGTACCGGGCATTACATATTGAAGGTTGGTGAAAAAGGCTTTTGGAGCCAACTTTGATAGAAATATTAGAGAAATGAAAAAGGAATGGATGGTCCCGTGTAAGATGGAATATTTCCATATGAATGAATATTATTTTTTCAAAGCATATGTAATTCCCAAGCCAGACATTTTTGGTGTAGATCCTGATCTTGGTAGCATTGAATTATTTCTAGTGATAGATGAAGACATCCTAATTCCCAAGTCCTGTAAAAAGATGTCCCACTTGAACTTCAAAAAATATTAAAGAAAGGAGAGATCTACACCAAATCTCCATAGCAGAAGCCAACCTTGTCTAGCTGCTTCAATGAGCTGAAAGCAAAACTCCAAGCCCCAATAGATGCTTAGTTCACACGAAACTGAATAAATACAACTTCGAAAGTTCAAATTCTCATAGAAACATAACTCATCTCACATATTACACTTCAATCCAATGCAAATTGTAATGTTTTCAGCTTTGATTCTACTTGGTATCATAATGCTATTTTCACTTTACATAATCACCAAATCACTCAAAGAAAGACTGTTTCCAAATCCTCATCTTCCACCAGGAAGCCTAGGATGGCCTCTCATTGGTGAAACTTTAGATTACCTAGGTACCGATCTCGCAAGAGAACCTGATAGGTTTGTAAGAGATAGGATGGAGAAACATAATCCCTAGGTTTTCAAGACTTCGCTTCTCGGAGAGTCAATGGTTGTGTTTTGTGGACCAACTGGGAACAAGTTCTTGTTCAGCAATGAGAACAAGCTGGTCAACCTTTGGTGGCCAACTTCAGTGAAGAAGCTGTTGAAATCAAGTGTGGTTAATGTAGTTGGAGATGAGGTTAAGAGGATGAGGAAGATACTCTTGACCTCTGTTGATCCAGATGCACTCAAGAGGTACATAGACAGGATGGATTTGGCCATAAAACACCATATTAGGACACATTAGGAAGGTATTTAACTATATAATTTCCAGTTAAATAGATTATAAATCAAGTTTTTTGATATTGTTGAATTTGATTGGATAAATGAATTGTTGCTGATAATTTTTTATTATAATGAAAAGAAAAGATGATGATAGGTGGAAGTATTTCCTACCGATATGAATCCTTAGCATGCATTGTTTAATTACCTTCTATTTACAGATTCCTTTCAATTCGATGACAATGTCATCTTGATCTTGTTTCTTTTGTGATTTAACGCATCTCTTAGCAAAGTTTAAAATGTTAGATTGTGTTATAATTATAACTGTTATGACAATAAAGGAAAACAAGAGCTGAGAGTCCATCCAACTATCAATTTATACACATTCAAGCCATCTTGATGCCTTTTTATTAGCATTGATGACCTTGTGCACATTTCAAAGCTTGCAAATCAATTTGATGTCTTTCTTAGAGGAGTAATTCATTTCCCAGTCAACATTTTGGGCACAAGATTTTACCATGCTTCAAAAGCTACTGATGCAATCAAGGAAGAGCTTCGATTGATTGCTAGACATAAAAGAACAGCTCTAGACCAGAAAATAGTGTCACCCACACACCTTTTGACTATGTTGTAATGCTAACTGAATCCAATCCATAAACCCGAAACGAAACAAAGTTTATTCCCTTTCGTCAAGTAGGTAAAGTAGGTGTATGAACCACTTTTGCTTTGCTTTAGACTCTAGTGGAACAAAGCAAAGAAAGAGATGAAATGGAGAAAGGACAAGGGCAAGAGCAGAACTACTAGTCCTAGCATTCAAGCTCCAAGGGAACCTCCGAGTTCTGATGTTGACTATGTCCCCCCAAGGCTAGTAAACCAAAAGAGATAGCGGTGTTAGAAGTGCTTAAGGGTAGGAAAGACTCAGGTTGTGGTGAACTTGTCTACCTTTGGAGATGCCCAGCTTATCTATAACTACCCAAGCTGGAAATAAGAGAAGGAAGGGTTTAGAAGTGATGAAATTCCTTATCGCATAAGTAGCGACTTGCATGAATGGTGTAACGACTGCCCCGTTATCTCCGACATGGACCTGGTGAAATTGAATTCTCTGTAAAGATGCGGAGTACCAACGGCTTGATGGTAAGACCCCGTGCACCTTAACTGTTGCTTTGCAGTGACAACCTTGATTGACTGTAGAGGTTAGGTAGGAGGTGGTGACACACAACAACCAATCCTGAAAGACCACTCTTTCATTTATGGATGCCTAACCACCGAATTGAAAATTCAGGAGGGGGCGAGACACTATGAGATGGGTAGTTTATCAGGGGCAACTGCCTCCTAAAGAGTAACAGAGGTGTGCGAAGGTAAGCTCAAGCTAAGATTTTACTCGTGAGCGTAATGGTATAAGCTTGCCTGACTATGAGATCGATTGGTTAAACAGAGATGAAAGTCGACCATAATGATCCGAGAGTCCCATATGGAAGGGCTCTTGCTCAATGGATCAAAGGTACGTCGGGATAACGGGCTGATGACTCCCAAGAGCTCTTATCAATAAAGTCATTTGGCACCTCGATATCAACTCATCACATCCTAGGGTTGAAGAAGGTCCTAAAGGATTGGTTGTTCGTCGATTCAAGTGGTACGTGAGTTGGGTTTAAAACATCATGAGACAGTTTGGTTCCTATCTACCGTTCGTGTTAAAGGGAGAACTGAGAGGAGCCAACCCTAGTATGAGAGGACTGGGTTAGGCCAACCTATGTTGTATCGACTGTTATGCTAATAGCAACGTCAAAAAGCTAAGTTGGTTTGGAAGAACTGCTGTGCAGCGGGAAATCCTTCTCTCGTTCTCAGATGAGGTTTTTGAACAGAACTTGGATAGACGAGAGGTGTAAGCACCGTGAGGTGTGAAGTGATCTCATACTAAACGAAATGACTTTTTCTTCTTTTTTGTTTGAAAGTTCATCCCTATGCTTTCCGTTGTAACAAAAAAAATTCTTTATAGTTCTTCACTACTCATACGAGAAGGAGTCTCTTTCCTTAAAGCTGAGATTAGGAAAAGCTTCTTCTCCTGGACCAGTTGTAGCCTTAGATTCTCTTTCTTTGGATCTTTCTTTCGATCAAGGAATTTTTAAGTGTGTGAGTGTGAGTTCGAACCAATCAGCTTTCAAGCTCTCCAAGGGTAGCTATCAAACGAGCCAAGCTAGTAGCACTGTCCATCATTCTAGTTAGTTAGATTCAAGGAAGCAATCCAATCAATGAGAAAGGAGAGGATGAAAGCAAGAATCGGATGGGAGATGTTAATTTTAGAGAAAGAAAATCAATTGGATTTGTGAGGGGATATTATAGATAATCTAGAAGGAGATCCTTTTTACCCAAAAGGGAGCTTTAGAGTTCAGACTTTGATTTCGTTAGTGAGTTCCTGGGTATGAGTTCAATGTGCCAAAGAAGTCAACTTAACGATAGTTGTCGAACGAGGGAAAACTCAATCAAGCAGCAGGGAAAGAGAGTTAGCTATCAAAGAAAGAGGGGATTATTTAGCAAAAGCAAAGACAATAGCTTTTTCTATAACAGAGACAAGAAGCCCTAGTTTCGAGTCTAGCGGATTTGATACATCCACATGATAAGAAAGCTAAAAGAGGATTTGCACAAAGAAATAGAAAGAAAAGACCGTCTAAGGCAAAAAGACTAGCATTTGATTCCAAAGTGAATCAGACTGAACTTCCACGTCATTTCACAGATAAGGCATGGCTAATGTGCCTTGGATGATCCATATCTTAAGGTCAGGCGCTGATGAGCATATTGAACTATCCATGTGACTGAGAGCGGAAGAGTGTCAAGATGTGGTAGAGAAAGGGAGATTTTGAGCCAGCTGGATGATCTCCATTCTTAACTTTTCCATGATTTGATGATCTAGATAATATTGTTTAAAATATGCTATTTGACTTTTATTTAAAGGTACATTATCTTTTTATTTTAATAGTTTTGTAGCTTGTAAAAGCTAACGATCTTACGTATTTTATTTTAATTTTCAACAATTTGAACAATCCCAATAAAAAAAAAAATTAAAACTTTGGATGAGGGATAGGTGAACCAAAAATCCTTCAAAATTTTATATCCGTCAACTAACTCTATAAACTAACCTCATTACATAGATTGACTTTATGTTCAAGACTATTACATTTATTTATTTATTATTTTTAAAAATATACTACATCAAGAATAATATAGAAAATGCATTTTTTAAATCATTTAAAAAAGAAAAAAAATTAATTTTAGTTGAGGCATAAACTGATATGAATATTTCTGAGTAAATTATAAATTAGTTCAAGAAACAAATTAATTAGTCTATTTGGTTTTAAAACTCAATCATTTAGGTTTTTTTTTTTTTGCTATTTTTAAATTATTTTGATTTTTTTAAAAAAAAATTGAAAAGAAAAAAAATAAAAATTATGAAAATATTGATCAGAAGATAATACATTTTATAAAACAAAAAAATATTAAATTAATTCTGAATAATACTAATTAAAAGAATTAAATAATTATATTTTGAAACTAAGAGAACTAATTCATTTCTAAACAATAGAGGGACTAATTTATATTTTACTCCGATATTTCTCGTATCAAAAAAAAAAAAAAAAAAAAAAAAAGCCTTGATGGTGAGAGGTTTAGAATTCTTTCCTACGGGATCAAGTCAATGGTGGGTGCTAAGTGCAAAACCAAAGGAGCTGGATGCCATTACAGATGGGCAACTTGAAAAATCTTCGAATGCTGACAAGATTCATCAACACAGGCTCAAGGATTAAAGAGTTGGGTTAGCTTCAACATCTTCGAGGAACACTGGAAATTTGTAATCTTCAAAATGTTGTTGATGCTCTAGATGCTTTAAGAGCCAATTTGAAGGGTAAGAAGCACCTTGAACATTTGCAGTTGAGATGGCACGGTAATACTGATGATGCAGCTCATGAAAGAGATGTAGTTGAGCAATGGCAACCCCATACAAATGTAGAATATATTTCCATTATTGGTTATGGCGGTCCAACATTTCCAGATTGGGTGGGGGACTGTTCTTTTTCTAATATTGCGTCCTTGACACTTGGTGAATGCAAGTGTTGCTCAAGCTTACCACCACTTGGGCAGTTAGCCTCTCTAGAATACCTGGTTGTCCAAGCTGTCGATGGAGTGATTGTAATTGGCACTGAGTTCTATGGAAGTTGCATGAATCCATTTGGAAACCTAGAAGAGTTAAGGTTTGGAAGAATGCCTCATTTGCATGAATGGATTCCTAATGAAGGTGGAGCTTTCCCTGTTCTTCGAGAGCTTTACATAAAACAATGTCCTAACCTTTCGAAGGTCTTGCCTAGTCATCTTCCTTCTTTAACAACCCTTGAGATTGAAAGATGTCAACAGCTCACGGCTGCACTTCCAACAACTCCCCTATCCTCAGATTTAAGTTGGATGACAGATCTCGTGATGTGCTAGTAACAAAATTGCCTTCTGGACTGCACGGACTTAGAGTTGATGGTTTCAACCCCATAAGCTCCCTGCTTGAGGAAATGGTGAGGATGGGCGTAACTTCCACAAATTTAGAAGAAATTGAAATAAAAAACTGTGCTTCACTTATGTCCTTTCCACTACAGTTGTTCTCCAAGTTGAAGAGTTTTCAAATAAGTGAATGTCCGAACCTTGAATCCCTTGTTGCATATGAGACTATTCATGAGAATTTCACTTCTCACAATTTTTTGAAAGTTTCAATTTGTCCAGATTTGACACTGCTTCGTTTATGGAATTGCTCAAATGTGAAGTCTCTGGCCGAATGTATGCACTCCCTCCTCCCTTCACTTGAGATTTTGCAACTTGTTAACTGTCCAGAACTTGTGTCATTCCCAGAAGTGGGTTTGCCTGCCAAAGTACAGTCACTTCAGATCAGGAATTGCAGAAAGCTCATTACTGGCCATAGGGAATGGAATTTGCAAGCTCTCCAATGTCTTTAACATTTCAGTTTTGGTGAGTATGAAGATATGGAATCCTTTCCTGAGAAGATAAAGTTGTCCTCCACTCTTATCACTCTTGGTATCTGGGATCTTCAAAATCTGAAATCTCTAGACTACGAGGGTCTTCAACACCTCACCTCTCTTACACAATTGAGATTCTCCCATTGTCCCAATCTCCAATCCATGCCAGAAGAAGGGCTGCCATCTTCACTTTCTTCTTTAATAATCTCTCAATGCCCTTTGCTGGAACGAAGGTGTCTGCATAACTAAGGAGAAGATTGGCCCAAGATTTCTCACATTCAGACATAGATATTAATTGGGATAGCTGAAGAGGTACTAATAATCAATACTTTTTGTTTCTTTTGAGTTTTTCATTCCTACTGCTTTTTTGATCAACTTCCGAGTGGCCTAGTTGTTTGTGGTGAAACCTTATGCACCGAGTGATTCCAGCCGTTTCCTAGTTTTGTTACTTTACATAACCAAATCAGTCTCCTGGCCTACAAAAACAATTATTTTTTTATTTTTTTATTTTTATTTTTTTTGCCTTTAAGGTCTTTTCGGTACAGTTTCCTTCTCAACTGATACCAATATGATTACCATATAATGGTAGGACATTGTTGTATTTGTTTTTGGAAGTTTCAAGCAGTTAAACATTTAAATGGGGGCTATGCCTTTTCTATTATAGCTAGTAGTTAAATGTTGCCCCTCCTGCACCAATATTATATGCAGAAGAGTTTAATTGTTACAAATACTAGTTTGTTAAATTCATTTATCATTCCTAAAGGAAAAAAAAAAAAAAAAAAAAATCCATTCATGCAATCCGTTGTTCCCATCATATTCACTTAACATCTGTTGCTAATGTGAATGTTGAGTATTACTGAATTCGCTACTTTGATCTGTTATTTCGCAAGCATTTCCTAATCCAAAATTTCTCCATACTTGAGGCTGAACAGTATGTTGCTGCAAACCTATCCATTCCAATCATGACCTATGAGAACAACAGACACTACCCTCTATTTCTCAAAGATCTTCCACAAAAGTTTCTAGACTTCATTTTTTGTTTTAGCTCCCATGTTCTGATTCATCAATCCAGACATTTGTGTTTGAAATGTTACTTTTTGACTTCCATATTACTTTAGTTATTCATCTAATCCGTAGGTTCCTTATATATCTTTGTGTTTTTTTTTTTTTTTTTTTTTTTTTTGCTCCCATGTTCTGATGCATCAATCCAGACATTTGTGTTTGAAATGTTAACTTTTGACTTCCATATTACTTTAGTTATTCATCTAATCCGTAGGTTCCTTATATACCTTTTTTTTTTTTTTTCAGGATAATTATTGATATTTAACAATGAGATACCGGATGGCAATGCTAAAAAATAATAACGAAGACATCGGAGTAGGCCTTTACTATAGTGGAGTGAGGTTTGTGAATGTTCCTGTCCTTGTTGTTCAAGTATTGAAGATGGGCATGAGCAAATTCATCGGTTGAATAATGTCTGGGCTGTTTATTTGTCTTTATGCTTCATAAACATGGAAGTATATGCTTCAGTTCTGCCCAATAACTTCTGTTCCTGGATTATGTTAGGAACGAGCATTTCCAGTTTTTGGCTCTACTCATCATGCTCTCATTGGCCATTATTTCCAGATTTTCCTTTCAACTTGGCTGGTTTTTGTATACTGAGTTATGTTTGTTTGATCTTGATATTTCACACGAGCAATGTTATCTACACTTGTGTTTGATGCAATTCTGCTGGCAATTGCATTATAGACACTCCTCATCTACACCCCTGGATCTCAGAATTGCCAGTTTGATATTTTGCTCTAAAAGATGGTTGGACTTGGATTTGGTTGTGCTCGTGAATCTGAAGCTTTTCGCTTCTAGACGGTTGGTGAAAGCTTCATCTTGAGGAGGAATATGATCATAGAATTTGACTCATGTTAGGATTCAATTAGTATGTGCTCCATTATTCATTGGCTTCCCCGTGCATTAATTCTCAAGTCACTGTCATCAAGCACTTCATAAACTCCTGCAGTCAACCAAACAGAGTTATTGCCTTCTAATACATCTAAGGCGTATTCATCAGCTGATCTTTCAGTGGTATGAGATCGCTCGTTTCCTAGGTCGATTCCTGGTTGATTTTATTTTGTTATTCTCCTACATATAATCTTCAAAGTGACTGTTCTGGAACTGTGTAAGGGGTCTGTAATTGCTGGAGGTAACTCCATAACAAGAAATTATGCGGTGTAACCATACATATCATCCTCATGTTTACTGAAACACTAAAATATAGGTGCATAAAACAAAATAATTCCCATATGTTTGACTTCTGCCTTTTAGGAGTACAGATCAAATTACGAGACTAAGCGACTAATTTAGTTATCAGACTTCAACATTTAACATTTCTATCCATGAGCAATTTTAGGCAGACAAAAGAGTGAAGAATTGTCCCAATACCAAGTACCAGATTCAAGAGTTGCAAACTCGTTGATTGGAGGAAATTCTGGTACTTGAGTCCCCACATAGCTGATCAGGCACAGGAATCACATTCCAACGAAGCAAATCCTTGTATCTGTATTCATGTCTTTGTTACTGGGGTTTTGGTTCCAAAGCTATCAACCAAAACGTGCATTAGCTGCTTCTATTGCGGTACAAGATGTTTGAAGCTTTTCCTCAGTCAAACTCCCCTTCACCTACACTGCCAGTTTAATAGACCATCAGCCAGAGCATGGCTCAGCTTCTTCCAATTTATAGTTAATATGAGATGTCTAGGGGTTGCCGTCAGAGTCACCAACAACCAATGAGAGAATCAAATTTAAGTCTCATTATTCTCACAATTAACAATTTCACTCAGAGAAATACGGTTGAAACAGTGATTGACAGAAACAACACTTTGAACCATCAGCACCCACATTCCCATCTTGGGAACAAAACCTTGCCTTACCATTTGCTTCAAAACCCAATCCAAATCCCTTAGCAACCTTTCCTTACAAAGGCCATGAATCAACTTCTTGTAGGACACAAAACTAGGATCCACACGCTCCCTAATCATCCTAACCATAAATTCTTTTCCCTCAACAAACCTCTCTGCATCAAGAAAACCATACAAAACCTCGTGATAAGACCCTGCATTCGGTTCACACCCTTTAAACTTCATTCTCTCCAATAACTCCAGCCCCTCCAAAATTTTGCCTTGCTTTCTTAGCCCCGAAATCAAGATATTGAAAGTGATCGTATCCGCATCAATACCCTCGTTTTCCATCCTCTCAAGCAAAACTAATGCCTCCTCCACCTTCCCTTTCTCGCACAATCCATGCATTAGAGCCGAAAACGTTCTCACATTAGGCTCACACCTTTGTTTAGGAAATTCGTCAAGCACATCGAATGCAGCATCCAAATCCCCATTCTCACATAACCCTTTAATGAGAATATTAAGAGAACAAGCATCAATCTCTATACCCAACATAGGAGCTTGCAAATACACCTCATGAACTACATCAAAAACTTTTACAGACACAAGCAAGTTCAATAAAAGATTGAAACTTTTCACATTAGGCCAACAGTTATACCCTTTTGGCATATCAAAAAGGGTCTCCATTGCTTTTCTGATTCGACCCGCTAATTGTCCATAAATCTTGATCACATTGTGAAAGAAATCGCTTGATAAACGACAGGACTTGTCAAGTTTGATTCTTTGCATCACATCTTCAATGGCATCAAAGTTTTTGGCTTGTGCAAGCTTGTTTATGACCTGAGTGTAAAGGGCTTCATTGGGTTTATAGTCTTTTCTCTTTGAATATTGGTTCCATACTGAGATTACTGAATTTGGGTCTTCAAGATTTTCAAAGATCTTTATGACTTCATTGGGAGATAACCAGTCTTTGTGGGTCAATTTGTAAGTGGCATCAGAATTTTGGGATGATATTGAAGAAGAAAAAGGAAATTTTGTAGAGAGTGAATAAGAAGAAAGGATTTGAGGAATTGGGTTTTGAACGGTGATTCTTGAATGAGCGAAAAGAGAGTGAAAGATTGATGTTTGAGCAGGAAACGGACGTGAAATCATGTCTGTCACCGCTTCTTCCTTTCCGCTACCGACCAGCTTAGGTTAAGGGGATTCTTAAAATTTTAGGTTAATTATAACTCAGTTCTGGATTGATAAAAAAATAAAATAAATAATAATAATAATAATTTAAATAATGAATGTCTATCATTATATTTATCTACTTTTCATATCCTTATTACTCATGATTCTTAATATGATTCAATTCATCATTCAATATGAAAAATTGAAAAGGTTATGTAATTGATTATTCATAATCCCTTTCGGTTCTTTTCTCAAATTTGAAGCTTCTAAATAGAGCTTAATTGTTCATTAGTTGGTGGACGAGTAATTTGTAGAGATTGTGAGAATTGCTTAGAGTTGTTATCTCTTATATTCTCTTTATAGTGAAATAATTTCTTCATCATTTTTTTCTTCAATTATCTTATTATTTCTATTTCTTTTATAACACGTTATCGATACGAAACTCTAACCAATTGAGATAATAGACCACGAGGTATGTATTTACCAAAAAACTTAATCAATTGTTTCAACCATTAGGTTTCTTTTGCATAAGTACTCTATCAATTGGATCTAAATTATTATTTAGATTATTACGATGTATGTATCTAATTTATTATGTACTTTAAATCTAATGATACATAGAATATACATTTGAAAAATTTTAATGATTTAATATATATAATCTAATAATATAATATATATTATTTGAAAAGTTTAAATTTTATTATTATGTTTGTTTTTATTTAAATTTTATTATTAAATTTTGTCTTTATTTCCTAACATTATTATCATACTTTGCAATATACAATTTTAATGATATTATATCAACCATCACAAAACATGATTCCATGGCCCTTGACATTTTGGGAAAAAATTATTGATCATGAGTGCTTGATGCTAAGTTAATATCATTTGCTTTTTATGTCTCAAATATGCTTCGCAATAACATATCAAGAAAAAAGTTTAAGAAATATTTTGAATCAATATCATACTTGTTCATAGTGGCTAAATAAAATGACAAGCTATTTATGAAAAAGAATAAATCTCGACCAATTGGATATACTCCATTCCCCGAAATAAATGTGATAATTTATAATAATTTTAAGCATGGAAGAAGATGCGATCATAGCCATGGATGTGGTCGAAATAATTATTATTATAATTGTGATGACTATAATATTACATCTCACCACCGAAGTAGATAACTATGACAAAAAATGAAAATAGATAAAGTCGACATTCGAAAAATAAAAATTATAAATGTGGAATGAATGAATATTGATCGTGTACTTGCAGTACATCAAAGCATCTCATGGAGCCTTGTCAAGCCTTATTGAAAAATAAATAGTAAAATATAAAGGCCACTTTTATATATCAAAATAATAGTAATTGAAATTAATTACTTGTTAGTTTTTCTATTTATAGATAAAATATTTTATATTTCTTATAATTTATATCGTATAGTGATGGTTATAAATTAATTTTACTATTTATTTATTTGTTTGTGTTTATGAGAAATATATTTATTTATTTATTTTGTATTGATTTATTTTATTATTTATTTTATGTTAATATTATATATGATAATATCAATCTACTAGAAAGCTTTAGAAGAGCGACTATATTATTATCTAAAGAGATAAATTTTGAAGGCTCTAAAAGAACGATTATATTATGAACTCGAAGAGATAAATTTTTGAAGCTCTAGAAGAGTTGATATATTATTACTTGAAGATATAACTTTTAAAGGCTCTAAAAGAGTCGATATATTATTACTTGAAGTGACATAATTTAAAAGCTCCGGAAGAGCAAATATATTATTATTTGAAAGGATAAATTAGTTATAAATCATATACTATTCTCTTCAAAGTCTCATAGAAATTTATTGAGTTTCAAAGATATTTATTTAAATTGATATCATATCAAGATAGCAAATATGGATACTTATACATTATAATCATTATATGGGGTAGAAAATATATATTAAAAAATTTATACACTTTCTCTTCTAGTCTTTATTACAAATATTGGAATGATTGAAACAAATACTATAGTAAACTAAAAGTTTATTAGTTCAAATACTTTTATTATATGATATAACTAGTTGTGCTATCTTGGATCTTTCATGATGCGAAAATTATTAAAAATTCATATAGACATTTATTGAAGAGCCAAAAGATTCTTCAATTTAATGAATTTTCATGTTCCGCATGTTGTTAAGGCAAATTGATGATTAAGCCATCACAAAGTAAAATTGATATTGAATCTCTAGTATTTTTAGAATGTATTTAAAGTGATATATATGGATCAATTCATTGACAATGTAGATCATTTAAATATTTTACGATTTTAATAAATGCATCCACAAGATGATCATATATATGCTTATTATCTATTCGAAATCCGACGTTTTCGAGATTGTTAGCAAATTTGATTTCAAGCATAATTTTCAGATTATGCCATTAAAAGAAGTCACCTTGATAATTTTAATAAATTTATTTCTCAAGCATTAAATTATTATTGATTGGTTATTAGAATAAAGGTTGAACATCTTGTTGCTCATGTTCATACTCGAAAGGTTTAGCAAAATTATTTATCAAAAGGGTCCAATTGATAGCTAAACCATTATTTAAAAATAAAACTCTCTATTTATGTTGGGGGACATGCAATCTTTTATGCGAGCAATACTTATTTGCATCGGACCCATAAATTATCGAAATTCTCTCCTCTTCGATTGATTTATGCTCATGAGTCAAATATTTTTTATTTAAGAATTTTTGGCACTACGAGTGTATATCCGTAGTGCTCCTCCATGAAGAAATAAAATGAGCACTTAAAAAAGATTG